TCTATCAGACGGTTCAACAAATTTAGGCTAAACATGAATGAAAACAAAATATATATTTTAATTATACATTAAAATGCGTAAAAACCTTATACTTTGTTATACAATACCTTACAGTATATACAGGTATACACTCTTAAGAAATGCAGTATATTGCAGACAAATAATATGTTTAGGACTTCCTCTGAGTTTTGCGATACTCTTGAAAAGTAAACTTTAAAAAAATTGTTATTTAAAAAAAGTCAAGTAATTTTGCTCATAAAGTGTTCACACTTTTCTTGTTTTTAGCCACAAGTTTGCGGCTCTCAATCAAAAAATTTTCAGACAAAAAACAATTGATTCAAGTTTTTTGTTTATAAACTTCTTGCAAAGTTATTAAGTAATATTTATAAGTTCGTTAAAGTTGTTGTTTCTGTGCTAATGTGAGCCCCAAAAAACTTATTCAAAATTAATGAATAAAAATTAAAAGTCTTTAAAAGTCTGCCTCTCTTTAAACAAGTTGTTCACTGAATCGGAAGTTTTGAAGGCTTTTTATATATCTAAATAGTCAGTCACACAAACTGTTAGGAAATAGTCAACAGCCGTAATACATATACAAATATTTTTCGGTGACATAAATACCTTTTTTATTGTCAAAAAATAGCTGTAAAACAAAAATAAAGGAATTATTTATTGTCTTCAAAGGTAAGTCATGTATGCATTGATATATTGATAGCACATGTGAATTGTGTGTTTGAATTTGAAAGCTGTATTAATATTTTACTTTTCATCATAATATTTAATGAATAAAAAGTTTTCATTAATAATAATATAATAATAATATATACTGTAAACTATTTCAATAGTTTGTGATATTCAAAAACTTTTTAGAAACACTAATTTGTATTCAATTCTAATACCTTTTGTTGAACACAAACGGGTGTTTCGTATATAAAATATTAACTCATAAAAAAGTTTTCATTCAAAAAGTTTTATTATAATCAAAAAATAATGAAACATTAATTCTCTCGACAGGTATTACAGCCTATAGTTTGTAGTGATCGACAGCTCGTAAAACTATGTCAACCCCATATAAAGTGAGCGCCAGTAGCTCATCACTACGGGTCAGCGGAGGGCTCCGGTATTATTTGCAACAGTATTGGCAGGACTTTGGCGATCAGCGCACCATTGGGTTGCCGCTCATACGGGAGGGCCCCTGGGCTATGATTTTCGTCATGTCTCTCTACCTGCTATTTGTGCGAAAGTTGGGCCCCAGGATGATGAAGCACCGGGAGCCCTATCAGCTGCGACTGCCCATGTTCATCTACAACTCGCTAATGGTGGTCATAAACTACTACTTCTTCTTCCAGTCCCTCCAGTGGCTGGACTACGGGCGCCAACTCTCAAACTTCAAGTGGCCGGACGGTGCGGACACGTCGGAGCGCACAATGGGCTACATCTGGTCCTTCTACTTGTATTGGTTGACCAAATTCATCGACTTATTAGACACCGTGTTCTTCGTGTTGCGCAAGAAATACTCGCAGATCACGACATTACACCTCTACCACCACACGGTGGTGCCCATACTCGGATGGATGTACCTGTGGCACCGGTGGGGCTCACCGGCCATCACCCTGTTTGCCTTGCTCAATTCGGTCGTTCACGTGATTATGTACTCATACTATGCTTTGGCGGCTTTCGGGCCCAAAATCCATCCCTACTTGTGGTGGAAGCGATACATCACTCAAATCCAGTTAATACAGTTCGCTTTGTTGTGTTTATACGGCTTCTTCATCTATGCCTACCAACAAAACTACCCGCCCTTTGCCTTCTGGTTGGCCTCAAGTATGCCATCAATTTTTCTTTCTTTTAGATTTTTATTTTTCATTATTACCGTAGTATTAGTAATCAAGTTAATATTAGTAACTATTCTATTTAATTATACCCTAGTAATCATTTAATTTCTATTTCAATATTTAAATATTAATTAACAAAGTAATTAGAAATTACAATAAGTAAATTTTAATTACCCATTACAGACATTATTGAATTTTAATTTCTTGCATTCATCATATTAGACATACAAATGTGTGATGTCAGCATACAAATCATTTTATACAATATCTTACTTATATTTAATAATATTGTAATTTAATAACCTAATAATTCATAATTTTTTGTCTATTACAGCACAACCACCTCTATTTCTAGTAATGTTTTTCAATTTCTATCTCAAATGCTATACGAGAGTCAAGAAAGTCGATTGAAATCAACTGTTTTCATAGAATTCGCGACTATTAATGAGATTTTAATAATGTTTTCAATATTACTTAAAATCGTCTGTAAATTACTTACCGATTGATTGATATCATTAACTCTAATGTCAAATGTATTATACGAGTCATAAAATAATTCAAATGTAAAGTAATCCGTAAATCACATAATAAAAGTTAATTTGTTTAACTTAATCAATTTTGTTTTTGCTTCTTTCAAATAAGGGCTAAATTTTTATTTGACATTTTTGTGAGATTAGTAAAAAGAGGTTATTATTTGTATCTGATGTGTTAAATAATTAAATAACAAGATATATAATATATAAATTAAACTATTATGTACTATATTGTCCATTCATGTCAATCACGCAAATACATAGTCAATCATGTCTATCACTAAACAATTAGAAATGAATGAAAAAGTTTTATAATTGCTTCTCTAAGCAATATATTAATGCCAACAAATGTAATCTCTTTTGTGGAAAACAATTACAATAACTTCTAATATTAATAGTGAAAACATTATCAACATAATTTGCGTTTATTACACTAATATAACATATAACACACAGTAAGTGTATATTTAAAGATCTCAGATTAGATTCACTACACAATAGAAATATTTTGACAGCAATTAATTAAAAACAAATGTCTAAACATAGGGCCGAGTTTTTCCAAAACGTCTTTTCCAATGAAAAGTCAATATTTATTCTCACATTTCATTCACAGAGAAATGCATTGTTTTTGTGCTAAAAAGCTCTAAACAAATAATACATTAAATTTAACAATTTCTTTACGAAATAATGTAATAATAAATCAAAAGAAATTGTGGACAAAAAATCCCCAATTTATTACTCTCTTAAAAACAAACAATATTTGCCCAATAAAACATGGGAATATAATGCATATTACAAAAAACAAATAAACTAAATATTAATTCAATAAAAAGTTATACTGGAGGGCCATAAGGAATCAACAACTTTTTTTGTAATTAAATGTCATAAAATACGAAAGTGTAAACTAAATACATTTTAATAATGCATTAAAAATAAAAATAATACTATGAATTCATAAGTTTATGAAAGTCAACATTAGTTTAGTAACAAATATTTCTCATTTTAGATAACAAATTATAATATTTAGCTTTAAAATAGAGATAAGGTTTTGCAGGGAGAGAGAGAGAGAGAGA